TTTACGGTAACGAACTTTGAATCCCCGGATTCGCAAAATGAGCACGCTAACAAATAGACCACACCTGGCCCAAGTCTGAACCTAATCTTATGTCGTAGTATCATGATGATTGTAATTTAGATTTAATAACAAGTACATTCGTTTATCGTTGACTGGCTGGTAGTCAATATTTACAACTGAAAACTTGTCACTTGACGATCACCCATGTTCATAAAAAGTTGCCATAAAAGAACATTAAAATTATACAACATATTTTATGTATAGACTAGAGAAGCAAACGGGGCCTGGCCTGGTGGTTAGAGTGCTCAACTCGCAGTCTGAGGGTTTCGAGTTTAAATCCTCGTTCTATGTTGTTGCCGTCCGGGCCGGCCACCCGGTATAAAATTCTTGGAGTACACAATTAGCAGCTGACCCCCAAACTAGTTGGGATTAAGATGTTTACTGAGAATAAAAAGATAAGCAAGCGATATTTTATGTAAATAAACTTCAGTGAAAATTATCACAGATCATTATTGTGAGGTAAACAAAGTGTAACTGCTAATGTTTTAAACAAAAAAAAAATTTAGGGGGAAAAATAATTTTCAAAATTGAGTCAGTAAACGAAACGAAACTTCCTACATGCAAGATCTCAACATGCTAAGTTTTTTAAAAGTTGTGGCTTGAAAATAAACGGATGGACAGATTACCGAATTTTTTCCACACCTAAAAAACGCAAAGTTCACGGAGTTGATAGAAAATAAAAAAGCATTTACTACTTACGCGTACAAGAAGAAAAATCTGTCTTCTATACAAAAAAAATAATGATAACCTAACACTGTTTTTTTTTTCGCAGCTTATATGAGCACCATTATCAAATATTGTCTAAAACTTAGCTTTCAAATAGCACGTGGTTGTTCTATACTATTTCACATTGTTTGTACATCACACATCAAGAACTTGCCAGCCTATCAAGTCTAGGTGTGGCACACAAGGCATTACATCTCCCTCGCGGCAAGCAGTCACGTGATTAGACCCAAGTGGTGGTGCAATATGGTGTACGCAAAATATTATGACTGATTAGTTTTCTGTGTGGAAAAAGCCCATAGAAATATAGCTAGTTTCCAATTTATCAGCTTTATATTCCCTCCACCCTGTTCTCGTATTTGGAATGTTATCTTTCCATTGGAATTTAATTCCTCCCTTATCTTATTAAAGCTCGTTCAGCCAGCCACAGGCTATATTTAGATAATGTAACGGCTATATACGCAGCTTTGAAATATTCTTTTAAGTCTAGTGCCAGTACTCTCTGACGAGGGATGGCAGAAAATAAAAGTTTTCACTGTTCAAGTTATCCATTAAGTCATGACTATGTACTTACAGTAAAATTGTTGGAAGAAAATTAAAGGAGAGTTTTTATATGAAAACTTATGTTTGCTGTAGTGTTATTCAAATTTGTTCTTCCAAAAAAGCTCCCTCTACCATGGATCAGCGGCAAGCCTGAAGGTTTGTAACGATAGAAATTGAGTTTCGATACCCGTAGTGGGCACAACACAGGGAGTCGAGAGCCCATTATATAGTTTTATGCTTAAAATAAACAAACGAAATCTTCAAAGAAATATTCAAATTGAGATATGCCCATTATCAAAGTGACACTACCAATACGTTGGCTGAGACTTGTTTCCAAAGAACTGAATAAAGTTTCGATATAACATCACACAGTAATGCAATGAAAGAAGCATGTTAAAACGCAACATTGACTTTTTTTACTGTTATTTTGAAAAGGGCGATGCTATATTTTCAAAATCGACTACTTTAGGCTACATATATTTCATGTGAATGGTGAATGGATTTTTTGTTTTTTTTGCCTTTGTTATATGCGTGTGTTGTGACAGAGTTTTTTGGAAACTTATGGGCTAATTTTCGTTGAAACAAGTTTCGGCGAAATTAATCTTAGACCGCACATCTTGACATACATCACCTACCGTACTTAGAAGTCAGCTTCTAAGACCATTTTTAATCGGATCAAGGACCTAGAGGTCCATTGAAATTGCATAAATAGACTTGAGAGGTATGTGGTTGAATGGAATTACTGGGATCGCAGATTCTTCAAGTCTTTTTCGCGAGAGCAGCCATTTATTTCTAGGTGTGGATAGAAGCTCGTGTCTTCTTTAACTTCAAATCTTTATTTAATATCTTGTTAACGGTACCAGGAGATATGCCCATTTTCACAGGAGCTGTGTTTTGAGTCGTCGGGTTCTCTTTCGTAACGATATGCCTCACTTTGTAGATGAGATTGTTGCTCTGGATTGATTTGGGATTTTCTTGTTGTCTTAACCACTCTATTGTGGGAATTGTTCTTATTCTATGGGAAAGTACCGAAGACGTCCTTTTCAGAAATGTTGTACCCTTTAGACCTACACTGTGTAACAATCGCTGCACAGTATCCTTCTTTGGAAAGGATTGTAATATTCCTTCAGCTACAAGCCAACCCGTAGCTTTATGGCGCTGATTGTTTATTAACAATCTCTGATCAATTTTTTCAGAAGTTCATAGTGTATGGTTTTAACTTATCGGCAGTGGTGTCACAGTTAGCGTCTGAGCAAGATGTCACTGTACTGGGAAATTAACCTTCTGTACAAAAAAGTAGATCATTAATAAAAGTAGTTCACCAACCCGTGCGAAATAGTCTGATACTTCCTTCATCCTTTTATCATTAGCAGACAATGAAGTTTCATAAAGCGTGGATAAACCACGTACAAATAGCACCATCTTTCCTGCAAAGAGCTATCCGTGATGACTTTATTCTCACAGGTCTTACTTGGATGGGTCAGCAGTTACATTTATCATAAAGGTTAGGTTTAGAAAATACTGAATTACAATTATTTATAGTTTTAATAATTTACGAAATTTTTTCTGTTGTAAACGTACTATGTATAAATATTATTTAATAAACCAGTGTTTCTCAAACTTTTTTGTTTCTGGACCACTTCAATTTTTGTTAATCTTTGTGCAATTATTTTTACGGACCATAGATCGAGAACCGTTGTAAATAGAGCGCTGCTTTTATTTTTAAAAGTTGTCAAATATTATTAACTTTTCTGCTATACTATGTGTTTTGAAGTGGCGAACTTATTAAATGTAAATAAACTGTAAAGTTTTTGTAATTGATAAACTAGATGCGTTCGTTATATATATACACACACACACACATAGAAGACATAATAATATGTATGCATTAGAATACTATCAAAAATCGCTTTTACAGTAACATGAAACACATATATTTATTTACTTAATATATATCCTAATTATGGGCTGTATAGGTGTAACCGAATGTTGTGATGTTTTCCCGTTACCAAACGCTTACGGAAGTTAATATTACGGTTTGGTGGTTCTGGGATACATACGGTAATTATCTAACCGTACTTGTTATATTAACAATTTACAAATTGATTCGGAGCATGTAACACTATCAAAGTGGCTTTTACGAAACGAATTTCTACCATTTCATTGACTTCACTTTGTGGTTGTTACTGTTGTGATTTCCAAGTTTCACGATAATCGACAAAACGACTGATAATTCACTGTGTATTTCCTTCGCGATATTTTGAAAGTGCGTCATTCTGTTAACACGTGTTTGTCTCGTTCCGTGTCGCTATTGTGAACGTTTTAATTAGTTTCACTCTGGACCGTTTAATTATGATATGATTCTCATTCTATACGTTATAATTAAAGGTTCTTACACGCATTATGCCAAGTGATTCGGTTTGTAAGGAAACAAAACTTTATATTTAAAAGAAATATTTTCAGTTAATTAGTTTGTTTCAGAATTTTGCGTAAGGCTACATAGCTGTTGGTCAGTAACACCCACCGTCAACTGTTTGGCCATCCTACAATGTGAGTTGGTCATCACTGTTACAACACATCTACGGTCCCAGAGTTAAAAGCGCGCTTTTGCGGTAATGGATCACGAACTGTGAATTCTCGGATTCACGTCAAAGCACGCTAACCATTCGGCCACACCTGACCAACTTTCAGCTAAAACAACCTAGTTGTATATAATTTACAAGATATCCGCACACACACACAAAAATATTAATTATTTTAGATAAACTTTGAATGGCCCATTTCCTCATTTTCATGGCGGGGGTTGAACCTGTGATACAGCTCTCGAATCCGTGAGCTGTCACCACAAGTACTTCCAGCACTTTTAAACTGCGTTTAAAAGTGGCAGTCAATCTCCTAGCGTGGATGGTTGGTAGGAGGATGCTGCTGATTGGCTGCCTTTCCTCTGGTCAGTGGTTGAAAAATAAGGACGGCGGTACATTGGCTTAGTAGCTTTTCCATAAATATTAACCCTTGGAAACACTGTAAAAAAATAATATTTTTTAATCATCCACAAAACAAGTCTTGAAAACTGGTTTTGGTGATAACCCGTTGGTCTTTATATTCTAAAGTTTTATTTTACTGATACTGAACAAAATAAACAATCATTCTTCGATTTAATATTTCCGGACTGTTTCGGGATCAGAAAGATGATTGGTTATTTATAAGAAAGCGTTATTCAATAATCCACGCACTAGCTAAACAGCCAGGCCAGAGACTTGTATGATTCAAGTATAGCCATCCCTAATTTTAAACAAGTCAACAGAAGGAAGGCTGCCACAAGAGCTCAATCCGGTTCTGAAAATAATAATGGGATTGTCTAACTTTTATGACGCATTCACAGCTGAAAGCATAGGGCGTATTTAGCAGCATCGTGCCTTGAATCCTGAACCTTACGATCCTCAGCCCAGCATGTTAACCACTAGGCCACGCTCGGCTCTTTCTTATTCATACGTTTTACGAGTATGTTGTCGGATATAAACATGTCCTATTTATTTTATATTTCTATATACATTTCTACGAAGCTGAGAGGCTTACCATTGATTTCCACAGTATCAGTAACAATCGTCTGATGCAGAATTAAGAGCAATATCAATAGTTTTAATAGTTGTTTCTTTTTTTCCTTTCTTTTTTAGTGGGTGGAGGAAAGTTTCACGAATTTCGAGCAAGGGATCAATTGGAGATCGTTTGTTGTTTGTGATGTCGCCTACACAAACGTTAATAACTGGTTATGGACGCCTTTTATTGAGCGTGGCGACGCCAGTCGGATGTACATCGAGATCAAATTCAGCATGCGTGACTGCAACCTCTTTCCAGGCATGGCTTTATCATGTAAGGAAACGTTTTCTTTACTTTATTACGAGTTTGATGCTGCAACTAAAGAACCGCCACCATGGGAGCCCGAGTCCTACAAACTCGTCGATCGTATTGCGGCCGATGAGGGGCGCTTTACATCTTCTAATGAAGTCATAATCAACACTGAAGTCCGAAGCATTCCCGTTACCAAAAAGGGTGTCTACTTTGCTTTCCGCGACCAGGGAGCATGCTTATCGCTAATCGCCATTAAAGTTTACTATGTTACTTGTCCTAACATGACAAGGAGTTTTGCTTTTTTTCCGGATACCTCTACCAGTGAACAGGTAACGGAAATCGTTGAAGTGGAGGGGCAGTGTGTTCCAAATGCAGAAGTCGTAGAAGCTCCTAAGATGCTTTGTAAAGGAGACGGAAATTGGACACTGCTTTCTGGAGGCTGCAAATGCATGCCGGGATATGAAGCTGTTGGCCAGACCTGTGAAGGTAAGTGGTAAATGATGTTTTCATTTTTTTTAAGCTTTAAGTAACTAAGACGTAGACTGCTGAAAGTATTTACTATTAAGCCTTTAAAAAAAGCTTATAAACACTACAGTGAAAACTATGAAGGTCATAGAAATATTCAATCTACATACTGGAGTTGTTTTTTAATATGTATATAGGTTTTATAAGGATATTTCGGTATGAAATAAGCTCCGTAGGCTTATCTTATCTAAATATTACAGAAAATGACAAACCATGAATTTTTGTCTAATATTGATTCAAAAATTACTAATGTTTCTTGTATTCAAAAAGAAAAACATTGTTGAAAGAAACAGTTGGATAGAAACTACAAAAATGCATTAGAAATGTAAAGGAAAAAAAAATGGTTCCAAATGAAGAGATTAGTAAAGTAAGAAAAATAAAACTTTCGAGCCATCATTTAAGAAAACCAAAAGGGAGGGATAAGTATTTTACCGTAAGTCTTGTGTTCGTATCACAGAAAATCAGGAAGCAGGGAGAAATATTTGTAGTTTACAGACTTGCCCACAAATCATCTGTAGACTATATAGCCACTAAAAGAAAACGGAGATGAAGTAATGGATATACGAGACAAGAAGTTGAAATACTTGAGTATTGGTCACTTCTAGTGGTGCTTGGTCCTTTGTTCACGGTCAGTTAGGTTCGAAGTGTCATTAGCTTGACGAGTTCCTACACACTTAAAGGACTCTGCCAGAAGGACAATAAGAAGGTATACATCAGCAAATGGAAACTCTTTGTTCACGGAAAACCTAGAACTTATTTTTTTGACTGCTAGTTTCCTTTTGTCCAAAAGCAGTGGGACGTAACAGCGGTCTCCGTTATGGTATCTATGATGCTGAGCGGTGTCGAAGGTTTGTCTACTATAATCTCCTAACGACAGAATAGGAAGATGAAAAACATTTGATGCACTTAAAAGAGACTAAACTAAGCGATACGGCATCCATCGAAGAAGATGAGTTGAATAGAATTCTGGGTCTTTTCGGTCACTATTCAGTGAACTCTTTTTGAGTATTTTTATTTAGTGTGTATTGTTAGGGATTTTAATAAATTATTATAATATTTTTTTAAAACTTTTGTACATCTTTTATTGTATACAAGGTAGTTATAAACGTATATTTTCTTTATTTTATTATTCTCAAGTATTTGGAAAGTTAATAGGCTACAGAGCCTGCCTTAGCCACAGGTGGGGTGGGGGGGGTAGGCATTATTCAAAGTACGGGGCCTCTCACAGTATTCAACTATAAAAAAAATGTGACAGAAATTGTACAACATCACGATGCGGTACCCTTTTTAATGGGTGAACTGTATGTTTTTTGAGTTTTGCATCTTCATCTTTAAGAATCCCTCATAAACATATCAATGCATGTCCTTATAGCGAGGGGCCTAAGGTAGAGCTGCCTTGCTTGCATTGCCTTAAGGTCAAGTCTGATAGTGTGGCTTAACTAAAATTCATGTCTGGAATTTAACTATGAAGGGGAAAAGTGTTCGCGCACACACATTCTAACAGCTGCGAATTTTAAACTGACATTAGTTTGTAAAATCATAAGTTTCATTTATCATTTAAAAAGGGGAGAAAATAATGTCTGGAACTGACCTTCAGTTTACAAAAAGAAATATTTAAACATTCGAATTGGTCTTATAGTTGGTACTTCTTTGTTTGACGTGAGTTCGCAATCGAAGAAAAAATATCAAGTTTTAGTAGCAAACCATATTTAAAAGTTCCTTTGTTTTTATAGTGATTGGTTCAACCAGTGTATTTTTTATCGGTATGAAACAGGTCATCTTCCAAATACATTCCAAGTTTTTGTCCTTAATATTATCGACTATTTTGAAGTACACTGCATGATTGAATTTTATTTAATACTTTTTGTAGAATATTTTCTCCAGAATTGTTTTCTGTACCTTCAAAAAATAGCAGCAGTTCAGTTTTGTGGGACATTTTGGTGGAATAAATGTGTTTAATTTATAAGTTGGTTGCTCTTTTCTAGAATAATAAATAATGAGGCTGACTGAATATCCATAATTTATATGAATTTAAACACTGCAACATTTCATTGGATGAACTCATTATCATCAGGTCAAATACTGACTAATGCAGAACATCAGTGATCGGGTTATGTTTTAACAGTGGTAAAGCTTTCCCAAATATTCTACTGAATATGAAGATTATTCTAGCATTTTAACGACAATGTCCACAAATAAAAATAAACTTCGGCGAAGGGGGACAGTATAAACAGTTTTGAGTAAAAAGATTGCAAAAAAAAAGAAGGTTATTACAAGTTTAACATCCAAGTAGCTTCTCTCAAGAACTGGCCAATGAACATCAAACTTTAACTGCCCAATCTGACGTCAGCAGTGTTGCTGGTATGTTATTCTCTCATTTGAAGCCCATCTTGCCAGTAATACTCGAAATCTGGACCCCGCCTTAATAGGGTTATCTGATTGGTGTACATACCCACGCACCATTCAAATAACAGGTTGCACTAGGCACGTTTTCTCAATTAACTGTTGACAGGTTGCTAATCCAAATCCTGCTGCTATGTTTGCTCAACATGTCTGCTTTTTCTGTCCGCCCATCCCGCTTTAACCTTACGACCATGGCCCTTATTATGCACGTGTTTCTAACGAACATGGTCGGCAGCCGAGTTTCGTTCCTCTTACATAGATTTGTTTAAGGGTGAAATTCTGCCGGTACTAACCTATACTGAGTACCGGAACATATTTTTTAAGGTGATACTGGTACCGGGACTTATTTGAGCAGCTTTGCCGTTTTTTATGTTCACACATAGATTTCTTTTTCTTTTTTCAAAAACAGGTCCACTTCACCCATCTGAATACTTCTAATTTTTTTTTGAGAATTTCACCCCTGGATTTGTTGAAGTTTAACGTTTAGAAATGTGTACTTTTCCGTTATGTCACGAGTCACTGGTAAAATGTTGAATTATTTCCGTTTCGTCTATACTTGCACATCTCAATAGCTCCGTTTGAATCAGCATATATATTAACAAGTTATTTGGTTATTTTGTAATGCGTTGTGTCTCTCTTTCTGTGTGCGTGTGTCATTTAAAAACAAAAACAAAAAACAATGTGTTGTTTTCATAGCTGGATATTTATTGGTTATTCATTGTATTTATGAGTTACAAGTTTGGCCGATAGGCTTCTCCACTACGATGTTTTTAACTCGCATACTAAGCGTAGGTTAGACAACGGTTATTCTTTAATTTGCAAAACAAACCAGCCTAATATGGAATGCCATAGAAGATTCGTAAAATAAAAATGTACAAGTTTGTGTATTTGTTAGTGTCGTCAAGATGTGATTCAGAACTTGTTTAGAGTTGGTCACAACTCAAAATAAGTAGTTTGTGAGTTATACTGCTATTTTGGAGTTGCGGTTCTGTTTAGCCTTAAGTTTTTTATACAATCTGTTCAATGCCTGTTGGGTTTACAAACAACTTCTACAACAGCATTGTTACGAAACTTTGGTTATCTCTGATTTTTCTTCTAATCAACGTTAAAAAAACTGGGATCGTTTTCTTCCATTTAATTGTTTGTTGTTGAGCATAAAGCTACACAATAGGTTCTGTGTCTCTGCCCCCCGCAGTTATCGAAGCCCTAATTTTAGCGTTATAAACCCTCAGGCTTATGACTGAGCTACAAGGGGTGGTGGGGGAAGATTTGGTTTTTGCTATCTAAACAAGATATTCTCAATAATCGTTATAATATCTGTTGTAGGAGGCGTTTTATCTGCTCCATATTTGAATATATATCTCAAGTTAGGAATGAAAAATCATCACACAATTCTTTAGAGGAAAATTAGACCTAAAATATTTAAAACACTAAATATTCGAAAAGCTGTGACCATTTTTTTGTTCTAAAGGTAAACTCTTCAGTATTTGTTTTTCAAACTCTTGTGTTTTTAGTAAGCTTAAACTTGTATTCTGCCACTATGTTGTACAGTTTCTATCTGATGTTATTCCTTTCTAAAAGAATAGGTAATTTTTGCTAAATACGTGGTGGATTAATAAATAGCTCATTGTGACCCATAATAATTGTATTCTCTCGGTTTAATGTATTTACACAAGGTAAAGAAACGGGCCTTAATTATCATTCGGGTATTTATCAAATTTTGCATCGCCCGACCATGCGCAGTTCTTGCTTCAACAATCTTGCTAAGACTAAGTCTTGGTAAGTTACAGTTTTCTGAGCGGGAAATTAAGAAGCATACAAAGTATTTATTAATTTAAATTCCTCTTCCCAATATGATATTTTAGGACTTGAGAAATGCATTGATTATTAAATCAAGTTTCAATTTCGTGTAATTGTTAAAGTTAAATAACTGCTTAAGGTTCCTTGTTTCTTTGAAGGTTATTAATAAAACTTTTTTCCAAGAACGTGTCTTAAAATTAATTACTTGAAATAATAACGTGAAACAATTAAAGAAGCGAGATTCACCAAAACAACTTAAGTTTATTCAAGTTATATGTCCAATATTCCTTCGATTATAACTACAGTTTAATTAAAATTATTTAAAAACTTTTCAAGTTATGTGTAAAAATTCATTTTATTATAACTACAGTTTAATTAAGATTATTTTAAAACGTTTCAAACTATGTGTAAGAATTCATTCAATTATAACTAGTTTAATTGCACTATAATGTTATATGGGTATTACCTCGTTTTGTACTAGAAATTGGGAAATAAAGTAGCTAAAATATGCATTATTTTTAAAATTTGGGAACGGCTGTGCAAAAGTTAATCTTTTGTCAGCTTTTCCCAATAATACGCAATTGAAAAATCAAAAAATAAAGTATATAAATCGTCCATTTCTATTGAGATGTTTCTGGAAATCATTAAGTTTGAGATATCACTGCAGAAATACAAAACCTGTTAAAAATAAATAAAATAAACTCCTTTCAACTTCTTCGTATTAACACTGTAATTGACCTTTAACTCTGACGCATCAA